ATAAAAAAATTTATTAAGAATATTCAAATAGTTTTATCTTGATTTTCATTTTTCTTTAAGGTGTTACCAATAAGTTATATATATATATATATTTATGTTCACGGTGCCTTTTTTTGGGCATATCTCATATTAATTTTTTTAAGGTGATCTTAAAGGTATATCTTTATGTTGGTTTAGTGTATTTAAAAAAATTAGTTTCTTATAAATAATGGTTCAAAACTTAAATACTAAATCTGATTTACAAGATGATTCTTAATGCAACCCTTAAAGTTGTTACTAGTAATTTTTCATACACCTAAAAAGTAAAGCAAAAACCCTTTTTAAGTCCCTAAACTAAAAAAGAAATAGATAAACCTTCTAACTCCACTAATAATACAAATAAACTTTTCTTACAAAAGAACAATACCTTATTTTATATTTAATGCCGCCTTGAAAGCATGAACATCCATGAATAAAAAGGGCTTATTTGCATCATTAGTGGAGTTGAAGGCTTGATTTACTTTATTTTTAGTTTAGGGGTTTAAATGTTATTTTAAGATAAGTTTGAGGGCTTAAAAAGCGTTTTTGCCAAAAAGTAATCCTTCGGTAATCGATTGTAAAGCCACACATAATGCACATGTCAACATGCTGCATTTAAGGAAATCTTGCTTACGTAAGGGTTAGTAGTCTCATGGAGGAGAGGAGTGGGGAAGGGCAAGATTCACACCCTAATCGAACATTTAATTATTTATATTTAAAGAGTTCAAATATTGAGAAAACTTTTTTTATTAATTATTTGATTAATTATTCAAAAGAAATTAATTATCTGTACTTTGGTGGTCTGTTTAGATAAAAATTAATAAAGGAAAAAAAGGAAACGAGAAGAGAAGAGAAGGGAGAAGTAAAAGGAAAAAAAAAGATTAATATTAAGGCTTGTTTGGTGTAGTTTGTAAGAAGAACTTTTTGACTTTAAAAATACAAACTATACCAACATTACAATTAGTGAAAAACACATTACAATTAGTAAAAAATACTATGACTTCTCATAGGCTAACTTTTCCTTTATTTCATTGCATTTTTTAAAAGTACTGAATTGGTGCTTCTACGAGAGTTTTTCATTGAAATTTTAATGAAATTAACATATTATACCTATTTTATTATCATCTTTTTTTTTTTAGTTACAAAAACAACACTTTTACAATAGTTTCTTTTTATTATGACTTTTATTAAAAGTTTCAGTTACATCAAACAGACATTAATCTTATTAGATACACATAAGTGAAAGAAGGGAAGTGATAATATATTTATTTAATTTAATAATTTTTTAAAAATAAAATAAAATAATAAAAAATTTTATTAATTAAATAAATAATTAAAATAAAATGTTTATATTTATTTATTTTTAAAAAAATTTAAAGAGTAAGTGAACCAATGACGATTCCTCTAAATCAAAAAAATTTAAAATAGAGGGGAGAAGAGAGTTTCACCCTTTTTTTTTTTTTTTCCTTGTTTGGTGCAGATTGTGGGAAAAGCTTTTTGGTTC